TCACTACTCGCAGTATTGAAAATCGATTCCATTTATCGTGCGTTTAGCTTCAGTGCCACTAGAGAAACTAATCTAAAACATGGCTCCACAAAAGTAGTAACACAAGATGGCCTCCACAAAAGTAGTAACACAAGATGGCCTCCACAAAAGTAGTAACACAAGATGGCCTCCACAAAAGTAGTAACACAAGATGGCCTCCACAAAAGTAGTAACACAAGATGGCCTCCACAAAAGTAGTAACACAAGATGGCCTCCACAAAAGTAGTAACACAAGATGGCCTCCACAAAAGTAGTAACACAAGATGGCCTCCACAAAAGTAGTAACACAAGATGGCCTCCACAAAAGTAGTAACACAAGATGGCCTCCACAAAAGTAGTAACACAAGATGGCCTCCACAAAAGTAGTAACACAAGATGGCCTCCACAAAAGTAGTAACACAAGATGGCCTCCACAAAAGTAGTAACACAAGATGGCCTCCACAAAAGTAGTAACACAAGATGGCCTCCACAAAAGTAGTAACACAAGATGGCCTCCACAAAAGTAGTAACACAAGATGGCCTCCACAAAAGTAGTAACACAAGATGGCCTCCACAAAAGTAGTAACACAAGATGGCCTCCACAAAAGTAGTAACACAAGATGGCCTCCACAAAAGTAGTAACACAAGATGGCCTCCACAAAAGTAGTAACACAAGATGGCCTCCACAAAAGTAGTAACACAAGATGGCCTCCACAAAAGTAGTAACACAAGATGGTCTCCACAAAAGTAGTAACACAAGATGGCCTCCACAAAAGTAGTAACACAAGATGGCCTCCACAAAAGTAGTAACACAAGATGGCCTCCACAAAAGTAGTAACACAAGATGGCCTCCACAAAAGTAGTAACACAAGATGGCCTCCACAAAAGTAGTAACACAAGATGGCCTCCACAAAAGTAGTAACATAAGATGGCCTCCACTTTGTGGCCATAATGAAATTTCAAAAACATAACGCCCCTACAAAATTAATATGGAAGGGTGGCCTTAAGAAGATTAGTATAATGGTAAGACGTTTTGCAACCTTATGAAAATATGTAAAATATCGTCAAAGGCTTTGGTATAATCACCACGGGAGACAGGGGGGGGGGGCTGGGGTGGGGTGGGTGGGGGCTCCGAAACAATCATTTTTATAGACGCATGGGTTACGGTTGGGGGGGGGGGGTTCGTGCCAATGTTTATGTCACATGTTCAATTTTACATCGAAGTTTTTTTTTTAATATAATAAAACTTATATCCAGCCTATAATAAAACATGTATCCAGTCTATAATAAAACTTGTATCCAGCCTATAATAAAACTTGTATCCAGCCTATAATAAAACTTGTATCCAGTCTATAATAAAACTTGTATCCAGCCTATAATAAAACTTGTATCCAGCCTATAATAAAAACATGTATCCAGCCTATAATAAAACTTGTATCCAGCCTATAATAAAACTAGTATTAAGCCTATAATAAAACTTGTATCCAGTCTATAATAAAACTTGTATCCAGCCTATAATAAAACTTGTATCCAGCCTATAATAAAACTTGTATCCAGCCTATAATAAAACTTGTATCCAGTCTATAATAAAACTTGTATCCAGCCTATAATAAAAACACGTATCCAGCCTATAATAAAACTAGTATCCAGTCTATAATAAAACTTGTATCCAGCCTATAATAAAACTTGTATCCAGCCTATAATAAAACTTGTATCCAGCCTATAATAAAACTTGTATCCAGCCTATAATAAAACTTGTATCCAGTCTATAATAAAACTTGTATCCAGCCTATAATAAAAACACGTATCCAGCCTATAATAAAACTAGTATCCAGTCTATAATAAAACTAGTATCCAGCCTATAATAAAACTTGTATCCAGTCTATAATAAAACTTGTATCCAGTCTATAATAAAACTTGTATCCAGCCTATAATAAAACTTGTATCCAGTCTATAATAAAACTTGTATCCAGCCTATAATAAAACGTGTATCCAGCCTATAATAAAACTAGTATCCAGCCTATAATAAAACTTGTATCCAGCCTATAATAAAACTTTTATTTGTGTGTGTGTGTGTGTCTGGGTGTCTGGGTGTGTCACGCCTCTAACCTTAAATGTATTCGACCTACACGCATCTAACTTGAAAATGTATTACATTTTGAGTCTTCATAATCCATGCCGGCTAGTATCGATATCTGTATTTACTCGTGTAATGAAATTCCGAATCCGTTTCAACAAAATCGATTATCAATAACACGAGACAAAGGGATGGAAATATTGCAGAAATGTTTCCCATCCCCACCCCCTCATCACAAAACATTGATTTTTTTCTCACATAAATTTTTACGTTCATAGTTCTCTCACATAAACTTTTGCGTTCATAGTTTTTTACAAGCTTTTATTTAAATTGCTTTCTCGGTGTAGATCGAAACGCCGGAGCGAAATTTCGGGCACTTCTAACTGACATATCCGATTCAAAGATGGCACGAGGGTCAAGACATGAAGACAATGCAATTTGACATTAATTGGATGCCTAAATAATGTTTATGAATTAATTAAAATTTGGTACAAATTAGTAGGCTGTCTCATCCAAATATTCCGCACTATTATACACGCGTTATCACGTTCATTCGGCGTGCAATGATTTTAAGTACTGAAATTTTTTTTCATAGAAAACTTTTTAATAACAAGCTTTTATGTAATAATGCAATAAAAAGTAGAAAATAAATTATGCACTACTATTTAAATAACTATAAAAAAATGCGTGTGTCTCTTCCTAAATATTAATAAAGGTATCCAATAGATACTAAAGTGAACTACACTTTTTTTATAGTTATTTAAATAGTAGTGTATAATTTATTTTCTACCTTTTTGCGTATTATTACATAAAAGCTTGTTATTAAAACGTTTTTTAGGATTAAATATTTTTTTTCTTGCAAGCCAAAACACGTGCAATAAAACACAGAGAGTGCACATATAAAACACTTGTTAGACTTACAGTTAAGACACGTATACGATTAGCATAAACTCCTGGGTTAGGGTTAGGGTTAGACTTACAGTTAAGACACGTACAAGATTAGCATAATCTCCTGGCTTCTACCAGATATTTTGGACAAGATCTGATTGGCCCAGATAAGAAGACAGACGGGCTTCAGGAAGTCTTAAAATCATTCATGAGACATAAGAGACATGAGACATAAGACAGATCAAATCTACAATAAATATAGGACACGTCGCACCTAGGCAACACATATGCCACATATATTAAGACACACATAAGACACACGCGTGCCACATATAAGACACATAAAATTAGTTGGAAGATATTGAAAGTTCATGTAATAGTATCACGTAATGCAAGTTTACATTTTATGCCTGCTGGTATGATAAAATCAGTGGCGTAGCGAGGGGGGGGTGCGGACCGCGCCGGGGGACACCATTTAAGGGGGTAACACCAAGGCAAAAATAAGTAAAATATATACAGAAAAATGATAATTTCACTTTATTAAATGATTAATTTGACTGAATTAAAAAGTCTTTTAAGAGCAAAGTGAACAAATCCCCACGCAGGTGGTGGAGCGGGGGGGGGGGGGGGTAAAAAAATTAAATACATTCAGCAGAATTTTTTTTAAAATAATTATACCCATGTGTATACACATACTTATAAGTGTATATGGAATTTTTTTTTCTCACGGGGGGGGGGGGGGGTGGGGGGTGGGGGTGACACCATCAGGTGCCGCTCCGGGTACAACCCGACCTCGCTACGCCACTGGATAAAATGTCTAACCCTAAACCTTAAGGGGAATATAAGAGATTTAAGGGGGACGTAATGAAATCTTACAGTGCTAATGGGATACCTTAACCCAGAGTTGTCGCGATGTAGCGGTAAGGAATGGGGACTGCACCGTATGACACCATTTACGGGGGCAGGGGTAAGGTTAACACAAACTGCCAAATGTACAGAGGGAAAAAGAGAATTTAGTTGAATATTTCTAGGAACTGATAGGCCACTCAATGGCCGAGGGGCGGGTGACACAATCTATATATAAAATTCTCTTCATGGAGGGACCATGTGGAACACCAGCTATAAGCACACCGACTACCCCCTCCCTCGCTCTCCAGGCATGCTCAACAGACCATATCGCTACCACCCCCACCCCCACCACTCTGGTGAGCTGTGGTTCACACCGAATCATAGAGCCGGGTCGAATCAGTGAAGGATATTAGTGGCAGGTAATTTAGTTTTTAAACGATTTGAAACTGTTAGGGTTAGGGTTAGGGTGAGCGGGGTAGGTGGAGGAGAGAAAGGGAGGGTTAGAATAATCGTCCTTCACGTGCTACTGATAGTGTTTTAAAGCAAAATATTTTCAGTCACAGCATTGTAGTGTCGAATTCACAAATTATGATTTACTGAAAAGTAGAAAATAAAACAAGTAGGCCCTATATAGCGGCGTATGGGCGAGTCAGCTCGTCTCAAATAAAAACTGCTTGTTTAAACTTAAATTAAAAGACACGTGTGCACCAATTTATAGCTTAATGTATGTTTATATATTTATAGCTTAAGGCAAATTGCAGAGCGAGTGACACCTTGCTATATATATATATATATATATATATATATATATATGTTACCGAGTGTATTTACTCGCACGCCAAATGTTACAGAGTGTATTTACTCGCACGCCAAATGTTACAGAGTGTATTTACTCGCACGCCAAATGTTACAGAGTGTATTTACTCGCACGCCAAATGTTACAGAGTGTATTTACTCGCACGCCAAATGTTACAGAGTGTATTTACTCGCACGCCAAATGTTACAGAGTGTATTTACTTGTGCTATCTTTGACCGGCACACAACATTAATCACAATACAGATACTCTGAAGTGCAGGTTTACATTTATCTCTTTATTAATTGAATCAATAGAAACATTCCACATAGAAATGCATCAATGTTCCACAAGAATACAATGAACCAACTGACCCCCACTGTCCTCACTAGTTCTCACACATCAGAATACACGTGTCAATGGTTCAGGCTTCCAATCTTATTCTCACAAATTAAAACACGTATCTACAGTTCAGGCTTCAACTTCTGTTCTCCTCACTTCTGTCGTACAGTCCTATTATATCGCCTCCCAACCACGCAGTCGCCTTGTATTCGTAATCGGTTCTATCCGTTGCATCATAGCTATGAACTCCGCACTTCTGTCGTACAGTCCGATTATATCGCCTCCCAACTACGCAGTCGTCTTGTACTAGTTATTATTAGACTTTTGTTTCTATTTCTGTCACACCACCTGCATCCGTTGCATCAGTTCAGTTTGGCCTTGGTCATGTCTTAGTTGACAGACTGTATTGCGTTCTTATCAATCGTCTTTAGTAACTACACTAGTTACATATATATATATATATATATATATATATATATATATATATATATATATATATATATATATATATATACATATATATATATATATATATATATATATATATATATATATATATATATATATATATATATATATATATATATATCGCCGATACTTTTTTACTTGTTGGGGGGGGGGGGGGGCGGAACCTAGCGATCCAACTTCCTTAACCGTAAACCTTTAGCCAGACAGATGTAAAGACAGTTTAAAGCGCTTATAAGATACCTTAATTTAAGGCAGATATACTTAAAACGCTAATGAGATACAGTAACTGAAGAACGTCTGTCGTAACGTTAATCCTAACCCCGTGTAGTAAGTGCACGTTAATCCTAACCCCGTGTAGTAAGTGCACGTTAATCCTAACCCCGTGTAGTAAGTGCACGTTAATCATAACCCCGTGTAGTAAGTGCACGTTAATCCTAACCCCGTGTAGTAAGTGCACGTTAATCCTAACCCCGTGTAGTAAGTGCACGTTAATCCTAACCCCGTGTAGTAAGTGCACGTTAATCCTAACCCCGTGTAGTAAGTGCACGTTAATCCTAACCCCGTGTAGTAAGTGCACGTTAATCCTAACCCCGTGTAGTAAAGTGCATGACGTGTGTCCCAGACCACGTGACCGGGTAATGAGTTATCGACTAGGACGTCGGCCCCACTATCCAGTAATATGTTCAATCAACGGCCTCCAAATTCTTGGCTTTAGTTCGGGCTGGCCACGATATTGGGGATCAAATTGTCTCTCGTTAGTTCTAGGGTTAGGGTCAGGGTTAGGGTTAGAACTTAAATTTTCGGGGGGGGGGGGGGGAAGGGGCGCACACTGTTAAAAGTAAATATTTTCTATAGAAATTCCATTTTGTTCGGGAGGGGGGGGGGGGGGCGGTAGACTTTCTTCGGGTGGGGGGGGGGTGATGATACGGCTTTAGAACCTAATCCTTAGACGACAGATGATAAGGCTTTAGAACCTAGGGTTCGTTTTAATTTTTGAGGGTTAGTGTTATTGGTTTACCTCTGGATTTTATCATAATCCAATGTAAAATTTATTTTTTTTATTTAAAGAACTTTTATATTAAAATAAAACTATTAAATTGTCATATGTGGTAAGGTTAGGGTTAGGGTTAAGTTTATTTTTTAAAATAAGACTCAGGATCACCGTAAAGCCTCGAAAATAAATCAATCGAATTAGGTCGATTAAACATTTCGGTGGATGATAAAAATCAATCATTGAAACTTCTAATTCACTAAGTAGTGTATATTGACGACACAGTGCATAGCGCCTAATGTTATGGATAAACTGACGGTATGTGTAAACATAACCCTATCCCTAACCCTAACCCTAACCCTAACCCTTACCCTTACCCTAACCCTAACCCTAATCCTAACCCTAACCCTAACCCTAACCCTAACCCTAACCAACAAATTATGTGGACTGACTCTAAACCTAACAAGCCCAGTGATGAAAGAAATTTAGAAAGTAGGTATAGGTTTAGGTTAGATGTAGGTGTGACGGTTAGGTTAGGTTAGATGTAGGTGTGACGGTTAGGTTAGGTTAGATATAGGTGTGACGTTTAGGTTAGATGTAGGTGTGACGGTTAGGTTAGATGTAGGTGTGACGGTTAGGTTAGGTTAGATATAGGTGTGACGGTTAGGTTAGGTTAGATGTAGGTGTGACGGTTAGGTTAGGTTAGATGTAGGTGTGACGGTTAGGTTAGATATAGGTGTGACGGTTAGGTTAGGTTAGATGTAGGTGTGACAGTTAGGTTAGACGTAGGTGTGACGGTTAGGTTAGATGTAGGTGTGACGGTTAGGTTAGATGTAGGTGTGACGTTTAGGTTAGATGTAGGTGTGACGGTTAGGTTAGGTTAGATGTAGGTGTGACGGTTAGGTTAGATATAGGTGTGACGTTTAGGTTAGATGTAGGTGTGACGGTTAGGTTAGGTTAGATGTAGGTGTGACGGTTAGGTTAGATATAGGTGTGACGGTTAGGTTAGATATAGGTGTGACGGTTAGGTTAGGTTAGATGTAGGGGTGACGGTTAGGTTAGATGTAGGTGTGATGGTTAGGTTAGGTTAGATGTAGGTGTGACGGTTAGGTTAGGTTAGTTGTAGGTGTGACGGTTAGGTTAGGTTAGATGTAGGTGTGACGGTTAGGTTAGATGTAGGTGTGACGGTTAGGTTAGGTTAGATGTAGGTGTGACGGTTAGCTTAGATGTAGGTGTGACGGTTAGGTTAGGTTAGATATAGGTGTGACGGTTAGGTTAGATGTAGGTGTGACGGTTAGGTTAGGTTAGATGTAGGTGTGACGGTTAGGTTAGGTTAGATGTAGGTGTGACGGTTAGGTTAGATGTAGGTGTGACGGTTAGGTTAGATGTAGGTGTGAGGGTTAGGTTAGATGTAGGTGTGACGGTTAGGTTAGATGTAGGTGTGACGGTTAGGTTAGATGTAGGTGTGACGGTTAGGTTAGATGTAGGTGTGACGGTTAGGTTAGATGTAGGTGTGACGGTTAGGTTAGATATAGGTGTGACGGTTAGGTTAGGTGTAGGTGTGACGGTTAGGTTAGATGTAGGTGTGACGGTTAAGTTAGATGTAGGTGTGAGGGTTAGGTTAGATGTAGGTGTGACGGTTAGGTTAGATGTAGGTGTGACGGTTAGGTTAGATATAGGTGTGACAGTTAGGTTAGATGTAGGTGTGACGGTAAGGTTAGATGTATGTGTGACGGTTAGGTTAGGTTAGATATAGGTGTGACGGTTAGGTTAGGTTAGATGTAGGTGTGACAGTTAGGTTAGATGTAGGTGTGAGGGTTAGGTTAGGTTAGATGTAGGTGTGACGGTTAGGTTAGATGTAGGTGTGACGGTTAGGTTAGATATAGGTGTGACGGTTAGCTTAGATGTAGGTGTGACGGTTAGGTTAGGTTAGATGTAGGTGTGACGGTTAGGTTAGGTTAGATGTAGGTGTGACGGTTAGGTTAGGTAAGATGTAGGTGTGAGGGTTAGGTTAGGTTAGATGTAGGTGTGACGGTTAGGTTAGATGTAGGTGTGACGGTTAGGTTAGATGTAGGTGTGACGGTTAGCTTAGATGTAGGTGTGACGGTTAGGTTAGGTTAGATGTAGGTGTGACGGTTAGGTTAGGTTAGATGTAGGTGTGACGGTTAGGTTAGGTTAGATGTAGGTGTGAGGGTTAGGTTAGGTTAGATGTAGGTGTGACGGTTAGGTTAGATGTAGGTGTGACGGTTAGGTTAGATGTAGGTGTGACGGTTAGCTTAGATGTAGGTTTGACGGTTAGGTTAGGTTAGATGTAGGTGTGACGGTTAGGTTAGATGTAGGTGTGACGGTTAGGTTAGATGTAGGTGTAAGGGTTAGGTTAGATGTAGGTGTGACGGTTAGGTTAGATGTAGGTGTGACGGTTAGGTTAGATGTAGGTGTGACGGTTAGGTTAGATGTAGGTGTGACGGTTAGGTTAGGTTAGATATAGGTGTGACAGTTAGGTTAGATGTAGGTGTGACGGTTAGGTTAGATGTAGGTGTGACGGTTAGGTTAGATGTAGGTGTGACGGTTAGGTTAGATGTAGGTGTGACGGTTAGGTTAGGTTAGATATAGGTGTGACAGTTAGGTTAGATGTAGGTGTGACGGTTAGGTTAGATGTAGGTGTGACGGTTAGGTTAGGTTAGATATAGGTGTGACAGTTAGGTTAGATGTAGGTGTGACGGTTAGGTTAGGTTAGATATAGGTGTGACAGTTAGGTTAGATATAGATGTGACGTTTAGGTTAGATATAGGTGTGACGGTTAGGTTAGGTGTAGGTGTGACGGTTAGGTTAGGTTAGATATAGGTGTGACGGTTAGGTTAGGTTAGATGTAGGTGTGACGGTTAGGTTAGATGTAGGTGTGACAGTTAGGTTAGATGTAGGTGTGAGGGTTAGGTTAGATGTATGTGTGACGGTTAGGTTAGATGTAGGTGTGACGGTTAGGTTAGATGTAGGTGTGACGGTTAGGTTAGATGTAGGTGTGACGGTTAGGTTAGGTTAGATGTAGGTGTGACGGTTAGGTTAGATGTAGGTGTGACGGTTAGGTTAGATGTAGGTGTGACGGTTAGGTTAGATGTAGGTGTGACGGTTAGGTTAGGTTAGATATAGGTGTGACGGTTAGGTTAGGTTAGATGTAGGTGTGACGGTTAGGTTAGATGTAGGTGTGACGGTTAGGTTAGGTTAGATATAGGTGTGACGGTTATGTTAGATATAGGTGTGACGGTTAGGTTAGATATAGGTGTGACGGTTAGGTTAGGTTAGATATAGGTGTGACGGTTAGGTTAGATGTAGGTGTGACGGTTAGGTTAGGTTAGATATAGGTGTGACGGTTAGGTTAGATGTAGGTGTGACGGTTAGGTTAGGTTAGATATAGGTGTGACGGTTAGGTTAGGTTAGATGTAGGTGTGACGGTTAGGTTAGGTTAGATATAGGTGTGACGGTTAGGTTAGGTTAGATGTAGGTGTGACGGTTAGGTTAGATGTAGGTGTGACGGTTAGGTTAGGTTAGATGTAGATGTGACGGTTAGGTTAGATGTAGGTGTGACGGTTAGGTTAGATGTAGGTGTGACGGTTAGGTTAGATGTAGGTGTGACGGTTAGGTTAGATATAGGTGTGACGGTTAGGTTAGGTTAGATGTAGGTGTGACGGTTAGGTTAGATATAGGTGTGACGGTTAGGTTAGATGTAGGTGTGACGGTTAGGTTAGGTTAGATATAGGTGTGACGGTTAGGTTAGGTTAGATATATGTGTGACGTTTAGGTTAGATGTAGGTGTGACGGTTAGGTTAGGTTAGATATAGGTGTGACGGTTAGGTTAGATGTAGGTGTGACGGTTAGGTTAGACGTAGGTGTGACGGTTAGGTTAGATGTAGGTGTGACGGTTAGGTTAGATGTAGGTGTGACGGTTAGGTTAGATGTAGGTGTGACGTTTAGGTTAGATGTAGGT